AGAAAAGCCGCTAAACTAGAAATTTACTTTATGTTATCATGTACAGTAATGGCCAAAAGTCTTTTATAACTTTATGAAGAGTAAATGTACAACAATCTAGCTTATTTTAAAGTGTAATCTTCCTAGAAGTAAAGTGTAATGAATTTTTTTTAGCAGTATATTGATTTTAGCATGTAGATGCTTCTTCAATATGTAGCTTTATTGTGACATCTTATGCTGTGGAGCGGAGATCGTTTGGGTAATCTTCTAGGAAGATCTTCCGAATAGATTATTTGCTAACTCGCTTGGATGGTTTTCAAGCCTTGTCCATATATCTGTTCCATGAATATTTTATTTCTTCTTCTACTGATTTAATTATAAGATCGCTTCGTATTTGATCATTCCGCACGTACCAAGGAGCATTGACAATAGTTCTCAGGATGATAGACTGCAGTGTTTCTATTTTTGTTATATGGTTTTTGGCTGCCATTCCCCATAAGGCAATACCATAAATCCAAATTGGCTTGACGATCGTTTTATAAATGAGGAGTTTATTAATCATGTTTAACTTACAATTAGAGTTCCTGCTAGTCAGCAAATTTGTTCTATTTTAACTCTTATGTGGTGTTTCCATGTCATTCTTGCGTCCATGTGTATACTAAATACTTGACCGTTTTAGTTTGAGGTATGCTAACACTGTTAAGAACAACAGGTGAAGAGTTCCTTTTTTTTTTCTTTTAAGTAAATGTAATGTTGTTACACTTTTCAGGATTTGCTTTTATTTTCCATGCACTTATTTTCCATGCACTTATTATAGCCTTTTGGTCAATTTTTAAAAGGTGTTGCAACATGTTATCATAGTATGTTATCATAGTATTGGTCCCAGGACACTACCCTGAGAGTACACCTGTTACGTATATCTTAATATCCGGATAACTCGATAAAACGAGTTTTGTATCTTAACGGAAAATGTTCTATTTTTAAGGGTACGAGCTCAAAAGTTGATGATAGGGTGAAGGAAAGTTTTGTCTAACTTTAAATAAGAGGCCTTCATGCCATACTTCATCGAAGGCTTTTTCTATGTCCAGGAAAACAGGGATACTTCTTTTGTTTTAGCACAGAATAGATTTTATTGGTTAACCTATGTACTTGCTCAATCGTCGCATATTTATTTCTGAAGCCAAACTGGTGAAATGGAATTAGATTTGTTTCCACTTATTCTTCCTCATTCTGGTTAGGATTATTTTTTATAATAGTTTAAACATTAGGGCAAGGAACGAGATCGATCGATGGTAAGTGAGAGTCCTTCTTTGATTTTGGTAGAATTATGACTTGGGCAAAAAAGTTTACAGGAAAATATTTAATTCTTAGGACCGCATTAGAGATTATGGTGAGCATCCTAACCGCTTTTGGCGGAAGTTCCTCAAGAGTCTTTCCACTAATCATGTCAATTCCAGGCGTTTTTTTTTATCCCGAGTTTCCCAGATAAGTTTGGTGACTTCTTCTATTGCAGTTGGTGCAATAGCTCAGTTACGGCCTGCGAAGTTTCGTAGGGAATAACTGTGGTAGTGCTGCCAACATTGGGTTTAAATGTATCTTGAAGATGTTCGGCGAAAACATTTGCTTTTTCAAGTGTACTCCTAGTCCAATTAGAGTCTTTTTTCTTAATAGCAGGTTGAGCAATGGTTGATAGCTTTCCAGAGAGAATAGTTCATGTTCTCATTAGGTGATAGTTTTGTTACGTAGTCGTGAAATTTTACAGTACAGTGCTTTCGGATTAATTGCTGTACTTCCTTAGTGATAAAGTTCAACACTAAACGTACCGGCATTTTACATATACCTATCTTACCATAAGGGGTCATTTGATCCCTTATGAATAAACGTTGATTTTTAGAAAGAAATTCAGGTCATTTGACTCCTTATGAATAAACGTTGATTTTTAGAAAGAAATTCTTAATCTTATGAATAAACGTTGATTTTTAGAAAGAAATTCTTAATTTATCAAAGGAATAATTCGCAACATAACTTCTGATATTCTAATAAACTAATCAAACGTATATTTTTATTTAAATAAAAAAAATAATCGATTAGTTGTACTTTTTACATATGACTGGTTTCTCCTTCATACATTTTCCGCAGACAAGTTTTTTGCAAATTATGCAAGTTTGAGTGGTTTTATTACCCACTGTACGTGAACAATCTTATTTGACATTTTCTTCATTTGGGAAATATCTTCGATTGGGAAATATCGCTTGGGCTGCTTAATGTTCCTTGTAGGTTTTCCTTTCCTTCTTCAAGAAATTCGTGATACTCTGTGACTAGTTCATTTGCTAATTGTATAACAGGAAACGCTGTCTTGATATCTTTATTCCAGTCGTTTCCCGATAGAGTATCCATGCATTGATTTCAGCTAAATCCAGGATATATTTGACGCTGTATTTTCGTGCCATTTACGCTGTATTTTCAACCACATCGACGCCAAATTTAGCCTTGTTATAATAACTAATTGTTTCGGATGTTCGCCTTCTATTGTTTTTGATTCTGATGCATTTATGTCTCGAACTTAGTATCGTAACTTTTTTTGTTGGTTTTGATTTATGTGTTGTCAGCGTACAGTCATTTGATTTATATACTGTTGTCGAGAAAAGTTTCAAATTATTTTTTGTCGTTTTTGCAAGTCGTGTGGGCAATTCCCTTCTGTTCGTTACAATTAATGTCCGTTTTGCCAACAATTTTGTAGCCAATGCAGTGGTGAAAAAATTGTCTGTTGTAATATTCCTGTTGTAATATTCCAGATTTAGTGAAAGGTTCGGCCAGTCCTAAATATGGCAATCCGTTTACAACAAATTTGGTGTTGACGTCAGATGCTAGCCATTTCATTCCAAATTTGTCGGGTTTATTTGGCATGTACTGCGTAAATTTGCATCTCTGCTTTTGTGGGAAACAGTTGCTCGTCAATGCTCACATTTCTGCCTGGCTTGTAACAACTTTAGCTATTTTCGACGAACTTGCTCCATACGTCTGAAATTAGAGCAAATTTGTCGACACGCAAACGTTGGATTCGTTTTTTTTTTTTTTTTTTTTTTTAATCGAATCGGAGGAATCTCAAAATTTCTATAAAAACGTTCCTGGTCATAGCTTTCGTAAAGAAGGGAGGTCCCCATTTCGAATTCCACATTTTTTGCTTGATAAGCGCCCCGTGCGTATAAAACTCCGATAAAAGCATATAATTTTGAAGTAGGCAGATCTCTAAACCAAGCTTCTGCAAGGCTCTACATTTTTTATGGTGTCAATAACAGTATAATCTATTATCACCGAAAATGCTGATTTTTGCTTTGCCAGACATAATATTGCGTTTGACGTATGCCGTTGGACCTGACACTTCTCTGAAGCTGGTTGTGTGTAAAAATGGTGGTCCGATTGCCGGCTCTTCTTTGATTTGATGCCAAACAGTTCCATCACGAGCCGTCGCACTGTTCTCGACATTTTGCTCATCATCACTTTCAGAATCCTTCTATGCAAAGAATTTTTCTCGGTAAAAAAACATGAGCTAAGAGAAAAACAGAAAGCGAGAAATTGAATGATAATATAAGAATTTACAGAAAGTCAGCGAAAGAAATAACAACGAATGTACGATTTTTAAGTAAATTTGGAAAAGCGCTTGGTACGTTTAGTGTTAAACTGTTTTTATTTTGTAGTTCACTACTGCTAATTCAATTTGTTTTCCAATGTCTTTGGAGGTATATTGCAATTTATGTTAGCTTCTAGATAATTTTTAAACTGAACCCAGTTAGTGCTATTGTTATATAAATGGTTTGTTCCGTTTATATACATTGGTTTGGATGAATAATCAATAAGAATCGGAGAGTGATCGGAAGTAAGGTCTAGACAGGGGACTGTAAACTGATGTTCGTATAGTCCTTTAATAATTGCAAAGTCTAGTAAATCCGGAATTTTTTCTTGTGCCGATGATCATCGCCAATTGATATATCCAATGAGACTTTTCGTATAGCTTGTTCCAAATCTTTACCTCGCGGTGTGTTTGTTTCTGAGCCCTATAAATTATATTAAAATCATATGTTGACATTAAAATCATCACCAGCAATATATTTGTTCCCTAATAAGTTGAAGAAGCTTTCATATCGCTGCACCGATATTTTTTGATTTGGTAGACTGTAGACAGCAGCCAGTGTAATATTACTAGTATTTATAGTTATAGTGGTGGTTTGAATGTGTTACATCAGCGATCGAGCATTGGAGAAAGTGCTTAATGTCTTGTTTGATGCACCACGCGCCCTGCCAAATGAATGTTTAATATCATAAATATTATAAAGTGGAATTTTGATAAAGCTTTTTATTGTGAAATGAATTTCTGCAATGAACAGCACGTCAATTTTATTTGTGTGTAAAAAGATTTTCAACTCTTGCAACCTTTGTAGTAGGCCGTTTGCATTCCATATTGCTATTTTTAACGTATCCATTTTTATTTATTAATGTTATTTAGCATGTATAAAAGGAGCTCCAACATTTTATCGATTTGTTGTGTTAATAATTGGGTTCGTTGTAATAGCATTTGGTTATTAATTCACTATTAGAAGCAACCGTTGGGTTCGAGATCGAGATACTTGGGCGTCAGTTTTGTTGTTATTTTTTGCATTATGATGCGTCCTAGCGGGAATATTATTGTTGTCATTTGTAGTTTCAGTTTGTTAGTTTCATTTTCTATAACTGATTTATATCTTAGTCTAGGAAAGAGTTTTTGCTGCAGCTATTTTCTCACTGTGCATCCTTTGTAACTAACGGGGTGGTTCCCCTGGAAATTATAACATTTAACATCAGCTATTTCTCCAACAATAGGACAGTTCAAAGACCAATGAATCCCTGCACATTTAACGTATATCGGGATTCTATTGCGATAGTTTTTAGTATGGCCGTATGACTGACAACGTAAGCATTGTGAAAAGTCTCTTTTATTTCTAGGAGGTTCAAAGGACACGACAGTATTTAGTAACCTATCAATTTTGTAAATTTCTTTGTTACTTTTCTTGTTAGGTTCAGGCTCAATGAAAAACAGCGGCAAAGGTTGCTTTGTGTTTTGTTTTATTATATTGTTAACTTGCCTTACTTGATGGTCGAGTACTTTCAGTTCGTTAATTATTGAACCGAAGTCAGAATCGCCGATTTTGATGAAATTTGGCATGGATGTAGTTTTCAAAAAAATATTCAACCCGTATTTTTTTTTTTTTGTCGGCAATGGTTGATGTTGAAGGGGTGAAAACTACCCTCAAAGTTGGGGGTACGAAACATATTGTGTCAAATATCTCGGAAATTATTTTTAGATATCGGTTTTGCGTACATTGATGAAATTGGTGTTTTTTTAACGACGAATTTAATAGTGTATACCGTTTTGTAAAAAACAATATATTTAAAAAAACACATTTTTGATCAATTTTTCATAGTAGATGTTAACAAATTTTTTTGAATATTTGCTTATGAATACTTTGCTTATGAATATATTCCAACACAAATTACAGATAAAATAGAATCTTCATTTTTTCATTATAAAAAAACTCATTACTTTCAAATTTCTCTCGCTGGACGTGCAAAGAATGTATACTGGAGTTGTTCGTAAACATGTTTCAAAATGTTAAATGTTAATATATTTTAGTTCTGATAAATTGTTTATTTTATTGTTCAGTACTTATTGCTTTTTTTCAAATAGACATATTCAATCATTCAATGTAATCTTCGCAATAGTGGTACTTTTCGAAGAAATGGTATGAGCCACAAATGTTATACCACGAAGTGTACCACGTAGTGTGTATGTATGTATATATGTGTATATAGCTTGAGAATCACAGGATAAATTATAGATGATATTAACTAAAATACAATACGACCATTTCATTCAATACAAATAGGCGCATTTTCAAATATAAACAAAAATTGGATGGATGAATTTTTCATTAAAACAACGGATCTACCCACGTCGTATTATTTGTGAAACAGTTTTTGATTAATATAATTTTTGAACTTACTATGCATTCATATTCATCTTACTAGTCAAATTTTGCTTTTTCCGGTTCTCACCTTTTCTCAGAAATCAAATCAGAACTCAAAGAAACTCATTTTTTGGTCGTGGAAAGAGTGAAACAAACGCTAAACTAAACAAAGATTCTCAACGTATAAGTACGTATAACTTACAGAATTGTTTCGAACATCGGCAGCATCGTATTCGACTGTGTGTCGACTCAAAAGGAAATCATTTTTAAAGCGACAGCAGTTGATTTCCTGAGTTTATTTAATAAGAGGATTATAAGCTCGCAATCAGCTCAGTCTCGGGCTTTGTACAATGCGTCAATGACATCTACATATTTACCAAACTGCTAATACTTACCAAACAATAGCTACTCTCATGATCATATGAAAATTGGAATGGAAAACAGGAGTGAAAAATATCATTTGTCATTAAAATAATATTATTTAAAAAAGGAACAAAAAACAATATATTATCTGTTTTGATAGAAAAAATTTGTTAAAATTTACACCACACAATAAATTGTAAGATATTGTTCGTTAAGGAAAAAATCTCAAAAGATAATAATTTGATTATACTACAATATTTAAACCATTCGCACCTGGAGAATACGATAACCATTGAAAAGCTTATGAGCAAACAAAACCAACAAGAGTGACGTTTCATTGAGAAAAAATATAAGCTGAATTATGTAATCTCAGTAACAACATAGCCGAAATTTAATCCGAATCTAACTCGATCTGATAACATGGTCTTATCGCGATAAGATAATATTGCGATATTTACTACCATGATATTATTGCAATAGAAATTGGTAACACGATCGTTCTTAAATTTTAATGGTGAAATTGTATTAAAAGTTTATGAAGATGTTGAAACTGGTCAGGCTCGAAAGAAAAATTATATATATATATATATAT